ACAATTGTTATTCAAAGTGTGAAAGCTGAAAATTGGCCTGAGCAGGAAGGGGGTATAAGTGCCTGGTAGGCAAGGGGTTAATAAATAAACTCAAATGTGATGCCAACAAAATGTTCTCCTATTGTTGCTGCCTGACTTCAAGTTGGTTGGCTGCACAAAATGTAATCTTCCCAACCTCCAGACCTATAAACCTCTCCAGCAAGCTTTAGTTACATAGTCTAAAAATACATGTAGATGCTTCTTCACCAGAGCAGTCGCTTCCATCTTTCCTGTTGGACTCTGTAGGTCTTGCATGTGACAAGGGGCCTGGATGTCTCGTGTCTCTTACACATTTTCCTTCAGGCGTTGCAGCAAGATGCCAGGAATGCTTAGTTACTTCTTGTACTTTTACTATTTATGTTTCTAGTAGATGCATGCCATTGTTTGGTGCTTCGGTGCTGGGCTTGTGTCCATGAAACATAATGCTGCATTTGTTGTGCTTTATACTAATGTTCAGCTTCTTGTATTCTGCTGGGTTTTGTTACAATGCTGTTGTATAGTGACGTTCGCTGCCATTATTCTCTTATTGAATCTTTGTAATGCAGATTGTCACCAAAATAGTTTTGTTTATGGTTGTGGTATCATTTTTAAGCCACCATGTACAAAATTCCAGCACTGGCTAGTCCCTTAGGCAGTTTTCATGTAATTTGGCGGAAAACAAACATGCTAGTGTGCACGGAGCCTTAACCCCTTCACACCCGATCATCCCGGCGTGAAGAGGAGTTCCTGCGCGGGAGGCGGACGTGGCGGGGCTTAGTGTCATGTGGCCGCCATGACGTCACATGATCGCAAAATGTCCCGATCAAAAGAGCTGACCGTGACCTTTCCGTGAGTACCACACATGTGCTGGGAGCGCATATGTTTTTTGTTACATGAACGCAAATGTGCGGCCGCTCGGTGTCCAGGCCCAGACGCTGGGAGGTCGCACATTTGCGTGCGGCTGGCGTGAAGGGGTTAATGTTGTCTCTGCTTAGTCACTTTGCAGCTTGCCTTTGTACTTATTGAAACAAGTATATACTGTAGTTCAAAAGCTAATCTTGTTCAGTCCTCATGCACACAGGACATTTTTACAGCGGCTGTTTTTGGCTTTTGGTTTTTTTTTTCTACAGCTAGTAAACCCCCCCAGCATGTTATCCTAAGTGTCCATGCACACAGACTGTAATCAATGTTTCTTTGGCTGGGAAAAAAAAACCCAGGACTAGTGGGTTTCTAGAGAGGTGTTTTTTTGTTTTTTTTTTTTTTTTTTTTTTTTTTTTTTTTTTTAGCTGTAAAAACGCTCTTAACATGGCAAACTGGCGTTTTTGGACTTTTTTTTTTTTTTTTTTTTCTTTTCTTTAAAGCGGCCCAACACTAATGCAAAAACCGCTGAAAAGCTCATGTTTTTAATGTGACTTTACATGGGACGGGGTTGCTATTCTAACCCCTGACTCTACATCAGTGGGGGTGGCTGTGGTAAAAACATGCCTCAAATATGGGGTTTTACCGTCTCCCAAACTGCAAATGTAAACGGAGCTCCCATTCAAAAACCCTGATTGGCTGTCATGAAAAAAAAACTGTATGGAGGAGGCAGCAGCAGCAGCACCTCCTGAATGGCTGTTAGCTGCGCCTGCACCGATGTCCTAAATGTGATCCACCGCAGATGCAATGCAGGTGTAAACAAGCCCTTGGCCCCTGTTCACACAGCCTTGACGTCATGTGACTTGTGACACCATAAAGTTGCATAACCAGTCAAAATGCATTTATTTCAATGGGTGCAGTGACAAAAGGTTCTTGCACTACTTTTCTGCGACTGCAATGGGGCAGAACTGGCAGGAGCTGTGTGTACTGCAAATGGGGGGGGGGGGGGGGGGGTTTGAATAGGAAGTAAGCTGTGAATACAATGATGGAGAATCGTATACAGACAGGTTCCCTTACTTGCCACCGCTAGATGTCATTGCCTTTTTTTTTTTTTTTTTTTTTTTTAAATGCAATTGCCAGTTTTTTTTTTCTCCATCACTTTATAGCTCCGAGAAGGAGCTGTCATTCACCCCGCCTGCTAAAGTAAACAAAGGGGCGGCATTACCCAGTGACCCTGCAACTTCGTTTACTTTAGCAGCAGAGTGAATGACAGCTCCTTCTCTGAGTTATACTGTAAAGTGAAGAAGAAAAAACTGGCAATTGCATTTTAAAAACCGGCAATGACATTTACCGGTTGCAAGTGAGGGAGCCTGTCAGTTACACCACTCCCTCGCTGTATACACTGCTTCCCTCCTGCCCCCTCCTTGCAAACACTGCACCTACCCCCTCTCTCCTACAAAGAGGATTTGCGTAGACATTTTGGTTTCGGCACCAGAATTTTCATTTGTGCACCACTAGGGGCGGACTGACAACTCATGGGGCCCCCGGGCAATAGGGGATCATGGGGCCCCTGTGTCCTTGCCCAAGCTCAAAAAAAACTATGAAAAAGGTACCAGGGGCATCTCATGGGGCCCCCTACTGACCTCGGGCAGTGCCCGAGTTTCCAAATGGTCAGTCCGCCCCTGTGCACCTCTAGTATTTACACCTATGCTGTTCCGAATGGTAAACTGGATCTTGATACATATTTGAATTACAATTTCATTCCAGTGAAAGCGTAACTTGCTTTTACATACAATGCCTTGAAAAATTATTCATACACCTTGAAAATTTTTGGCACGTTACAACCAAAAACATAAATGTATTTTATTGGGATTTTAAGTGATAGACCAACACAAAGTAGCACGTAATTGTGAAATGGAAGGAAAATGATAAATGGTTTTCAAATTTTTAATTTTTTTTACAAATATCTGAAAAGTGTGGTGTGCATTTGTGTTCAGCCCCCTTTACTCTGATACCGCTAGCTAAAATCTAGTGGAACCAATTGCCTTCAGAAGTTACCTAATTAGTAAATAACCACCTGTGTGTAATTTAATCTCTGTATAAATACAGCTTTTCTGTGAAGTCCTTAGAGGTTTGTTAGAGAACATTAGTGAACAAATGAAGGCCAAGGAACACACCAGACAGGTCAGGGATAAAGTTGTGGATACGTGTTAAAGCAGAATTGGGTTAAAAAAATCCCAAGCTTTGAACATCTCATGGAGCACTGTTCAATCCATCATCCGAAAAATGGAAAGAGTATGGCACAACTGCAAACCTACCAAGACATGGCCGTCCACCTAAACTGACAGGCGGGCAAGGAGACATTAATCAGGAGCAGCCAAAAAAAAAAAAAAAAAAAAAATTAAAATCAGAGAAGCAGCCAAGAGGTCCATGGTAACTCTGGAGGAGCTGCAGAGATCCACAGCTCAGGTGGGAGAATCTGTCCACAGGACAAATATTAGTTTGTGCACTCCACAAATCTGGTCTTGTGGTCAAGGGGTATGAATACTTTTTCAAGGCACTGTACTTATCCATAGTTGTCTATTTGTAAATGCTTTCTTTGACATTGGAATTTATTTGGCGTTTTCTACAGAATCAAGTTGATAAACTGGTTTTTGTTTTTTTTCTCTTTGATTTTCACTGGAATACAGTCCTTGTGCAGTTCTCCAAAGCAGTCCCATGATTATGGTGGGCCCAGAAAAGCTTTTTATGGGTGCTTCTATAACCATTGCTGCAACACCCAATCTGGCCCCCCTCCATCTCCTACAAAAAAATTAAGGAAACTGTATCCCTTTCAAAATGTTTTAAATTCAAAAACAATTCCAGCAGAGTAGCTAAAACACAGTAGAAATGTCAACACGAACCATTTACTCTGCAAATATGTATTGTTCATCAAGTCTTGTGATTCACCCATTTCTTCTATGATGTTGGGTAGTAGAACTACTCTTCAAAGTCAGCCTGATGATTCTAAATGAAAAGAAAGTTAAGGAGCACAATGCCTCTAATGTCTACATTTCATGGTGTAAAATGAGGACCCAGTTTAGATTACAATGCTCATTTATTGTCTCCGGAAAATATGTAGCAAAAAAGGGAGCACCTAGGGGTGCTTCAGACTTGCATACATTTTTTAGTGCTCAGGGAACTCTACTAGTTGAACTTGCATTAGGCCTTCATATTTATAGGCCACTAATGAGGCAGGAAGGGGATGGAGCAGAGCTCTCGGATACAAGATCTAGTCGTGATTTGCATAATATAATGCTTTGGCTTTGTAGACGCTATAAATTCGCCATATTTTTCTTGCCTGTAACTTTCTAGCACTTAATTCATCCACATATTTTAGCTATGTCTAGTAATTCCATACTTCTGCCAGCTTCTTGCTGACCAATACATCACTACAATAGGACCTGTTGAATGACGCATGCACACATTTCATTAATGATTACAAGCCTTGGGAAGTTAATGGCTCTATGAAATATGAGACAGCCAAGAGGATGCAAGAGTAAATGCACTTACCTCCTAGTTGTTGCCTCATTACAGCTCTCCTGAAACTGTTCCCTTCTGGGGAATGGAGTGGATGTCTGATGCAGGGCACTGGGATTGTTGAGTAGATGGTTATAAAGTGGGGCTGTCATGAGGAAGGTGGATGTATGCTACAGCAGTGTAACAGCCATTTGAATCTGCCAGATGGAATGCCTTTGCAATACGTGTCTGGCTGTATGGCCTTATAGGCTAGCTGGGGTGAGAGGATTACTTGAGAGGTCTCATGATGGGTAAAAACAGTTTCTGCATGTCTCCTTGCTGCATATATAGCTGTTTGGATAGCCTTGCCCTTTATATGTAGAACAGATGTGCTGCATGGATATGATTTCTTTGGTTTGTGCTAGAAAATCCAATTAATGTGCTGTTGAGTTTTGAACCGGATAGAAGTATACGCTTTCAAGCTATTTAAACATTAATACCTTCCTTTCCTTTTTCTATCTGTGCATTATTTGTGATGCAGAAAGCTGATCTTTTTTTTTTTTTTTTTTTTCTATATTGCAGGATTTCCAGGCAGAAGTTGTTCCCCATCGTTATTACTTGAGGCAATGTCTGTTCCTTCACAGCTCCTCTTTCCTCTCATAAGAAACTGTGAGATTGGCAGAATATGCAGCTCCATGTGTTACTGCCATCACAAGCGTCTCTGCTGTCGATCTGCTTACCAGTCTGTGAAGCCCAGCCGATGCTTTGCAGATGGCAAGTTTGCGTCAACGTTTTGCCGGCCCAACTTGCATTGTGCCCAATTGAGGAGATATGTAACTACACCACAGAGATTTTACTTGACTCCTCCTCAGGTCAATAGCATCTTGAAAGCCAATGAATATAGTTTCAAAGTGCCAGAATTCGACGGTAAGAATATCAGTTCTGTCCTCGGTTTTGACAGTAATCAGTTACCGGCGAATGCTCCAATTGAAGACCGAAGAAGTGCTGCCACGTGTTTACAGACCAGAGGCATGCTACTTGGTGTGTTTGATGGTCACGCTGGTTGTGCATGCGCTCAGGCAGTTAGTGAGAGACTGTTCTACTATATTGCTGTTTCATTGCTACCTCAGGAAACTCTGCTTGAGATTGAACATGCTGTAGAAAGTGGTCGGGCGCTATTGCCAATTTTGCAGTGGCACAAGCATCCAAATGATTACTTTAGCAAAGAAGCTTCCAAACTGTACTTCAATAGTTTACGGACCTATTGGCAAGAACTGATTGATCTTAATGCAGGTGAGAGCACTGATGTCAAGGAGGCACTGATAAATTCCTTCAAGAGACTTGACAATGACTTGTCATTAGAAGCTCAAGTAGGTGATCCTAACTCCTTTTTGAACTATTGGGTCTTACGAGTGGCCTTTTCAGGAGCTACTGCATGTGTGGCTCATGTGGATGGTGTAAACTTGCATGTGGCAAACACAGGAGATAGCCGAGCCTTGCTTGGTGTCCAGGAGGAAGATGGCTCTTGGTCTGCTGTAACCATGTCCCATGACCATAATGCTCAAAATGATTCAGAGGTGAAACGTCTTAAGACAGAGCATCCGAAGGAAGAAAAGACTGTTGTGAAGCAAGACAGACTCTTAGGATTGCTCATGCCTTTTAGAGCTTTTGGAGATGTCAAATTTAAATGGAGCATTGACCTCCAGAAACGTGTAGTTGAATCGGGTCCTGATCAACTAAATGATAATGAATACACAAAATTCATTCCTCCAAACTACCACACGCCACCATACTTATCCGCAGAGCCAGAAGTCATATATCACAAGTTACGACCTAAGGACAAGTTCCTTATTCTAGCCACGGATGGTCTTTGGGAGACTATGCACAGGCAGGATGTTGTGAGAATTGTTGGAGAGTACCTAACTGGTGTTCACCATCAGCAGCCTTTAGCAGTAGGAGGCTACAAAGTCACCCTGGGACAGATGCAAGGCCTTCTTATGGATAGGAGGGCCAGAATATCGTCTGTGTTTGAAGATCAAAATGCAGCTACACATCTTATACGACATGCAGTGGGCAATAATGAGTTTGGAACTGTTGACCATGAGCGATTGTCAAAAATGCTTAGTCTTCCAGAAGAACTGGCACGGATGTACAGAGATGATATCACAATCATAGTGGTGCAGTTTAATTCTCATGTCATTGGAGCATATCAAAACCTGTAAGCCTACTAGGTTAAGCATCTCTATCTCCGCTTAAACATACAAAGAGTACTGTTCAGACGACCCATGGGAAGAAGTATTGTCTCACCCTTTTTTTTTTTTTTTTTTTTTTTCTGTACATGGTTTACGCCAGGGGTGCTCAACCTTCCAAAGAGCAAGGGCCACTTAAGTGATTTGGTAACCAGTTTCTGTTCACAATGAACTACAGGGTTTTACTGCCCCCCCAAATGGCAAATGTAAGCCCTTAATGTGCTGAGCTCCCTATAAGGCTGCTTTCACTGATGCACTGCGGTTTACTTTCTGAAAGTGCACCAAAACTTCAGCATTTTTAGGAGTTTTGGTTTGCTTTCAGAAAGTGCACAAAATCCACAGCATATAATAGAAATCTCTGTACATGCAGTTTTCCTACAGGTTAGCTGCACTGAGCCACTGTGCTGCATTTGCGGATCATTGTGAAAGCAGCCTAATGACACTATTATAAGTGCTAATATGCCCTTTTCAAAAGTGCAGTGTATGTGATGTTTAATACACTTACCTTTTTTGCTTTTCCAGCTTCTGCTGGCATTGCCCTCCAGGCTGCTACAAATGTCCCAGAGAAAGTGTACTTGGTATCACTCCACCTGGAACAGGAGCCAGCCTGCTTCCACCACTTCTGGCTCCATGCACTCCTGATGCTCTGGGGTGCGGGTTGATAACCTGTTGATCATAATCTGGGCTTTCCGACCTAACCCCCCTCATCCGAAAGCATGAGGTCGCGGGCCACGGCAGAGGGCTCCGCAGGCCATGGGTGATGAGCACCCCTGGTTTACATCATTTTATGGTCCAGGCTTGCCTGCATACTATGCACCTTTCTGTGTTGGAGGGTAACGTTAAGATGATCTTATGGATCATTCACTTGTAGGGTATGTACATCTTTTTCCTGTGCTGTTGCCCTGTAGTGTACTTTTGCTATTTGGTGCCGCTTCTTTTCAGAGTGCCCTAGGATCCCCCAAAACCCATGGTGCTCTGATATGCAAAGATCCACTTCAGCCAAGAAGCCTTCAGTTTATGTCCCCAACTGAGACCAACAGCATTGGTTCACATAATAGCCACTGCATGTTATCAACGCTCATAATTGCGGTGTATGTACATACCCTAACCTTAATGTTTTGCAGGTTTCCAAGTTGTGACATGAAGTATTTTAGGATTGTTTTATTTACTTAACAATGCATGAAGTTATCTTCTACTGTTTGCACGGTAGTCTGTAGAGGATTCCTTTTAGCTGTAGAGTAGCATGGAAGCAGGTGGATGAAGACACAAGATTCTCCTCTGGAGTAGCCCTAATGCTTTATGAAGCTGATAAGTTTCAGATCATCCTTGTCTGCTTTTGTCATAATTGGTGTCAGACATGGTACTATTTTGGGAGATAATTCACTCAACGGCTCCTTCCAGTGTGACAAAGAATCTGTCTACTCTTCCCCTAAGCAGCAGGTAGGCATACGTTGAATCTGGCAGACTGCTCAGTGATGGGCATGCCTATCAGGTACCAGATGTTTTTATGAAGGTTCCATTAGTTATGGTGAATGCAGCAGTAATTTTATTTCTACCATGGATAAGAACGTTTGCTGCACTTGAGTTGTTCTTGGACCTCCAATGTTTGTGATATTTTCTTTGCTGCATATAAATTCTAGCTATATCACTGTGGCAAATGGAAGATCTAAACCCCAGGATCAGGAGTTTATGCTGCCCGATCACCTATTTGAACCAGCCCTCAGAAGTTGAGGAAAAAGACAGAATGTCAGGAGTACACAAGTCAACGCTTTCTCCCATGCAAGCCAGGAAACCTGCATCTGATTGCTATAGAAAACAAGAGCTGTTAACTCTCTGCCTTTTAATCCCTATTCTTACCTACCAACCAACCAGTCTTCATGTCTGTTTAGTCACATGTCTGTTTAGTGGATGCATACCATTTTCTCGATGTCTGGGTAGTGGATGCATACCATTTTCTAGATGTCTGGGTAGTGGATGCATACCATTTTTCTAGATGTCTGGGTAGTGGATGCATACCATTTTTCTCGATGTCTGGGTAGTGGATGCATACCATTTTTCTCGATGTCTGGGTAGTGGATGCATACCATTTTTCTCAGATGTCTGGGTAGTGGATGCATACCATTTTTCCAGATGTCTGGGTAGTGGATGCATACCATTTTTCAGATGTCTGGGTAGTGGATGCATACCATTTTTCTAGATGTCTGGGTAGTGGATGCATACCATTTTTCCAGATGTCTGGGTAGTGGATGCATACCATTTTTCCAGATGTCTGGGTAGTGGATGCATACCATTTTTCCAGATGTCTGGGTAGTGGATGCATACCATTTTTCCAGATGTCTGGGTAGTGGATGCATACCATTTTTCCAGATGTCTGGGTAGTGGATGCATACCATTTTTCCAGATGTCTGGGTAGTGGATGCATACCATTTTTCTAGATGTCTGGCTCATCATTTGAGATGAAAAAGTTGGTTTGATGCAGATAGGGCAACTCTTACATGATTTGCTTAACATGAACTTGCAGCAAACGCTGGCAAGTACATTACGTGTGTGTGGGTTTTTTTTGTTTTTTTTTTGTCTTCATGTGAGCAATTAGGCTAGCACTCTCCCCCATGTATTTAGTGGGGGGTAAAGTTTAATAGAAGATAAATCCTGAAGACCTATTGTGCAAGACTGTTGGAGATGTGTAGACGTCACCCACAAAGTCTCACACCAGGTAGTTGCATTCATTGTAGGGCCTGATGAGAGCACCATTTGCTCCTGCTAAATGAGCGATAGGTTACAGATTGTGTTTTATAGAGGGCCGTGGCTGTACCACACCTTTTATTAAATGGATTTAGTCTGTCTCCTTTCCACCTCCCTCTATAATGATTCCCATGTGGATGTGACATTTCAATGAGCTGCCATCCTGAGCGCTTAGAACCTCGACACACTAAACGGTTGTCCAGCACAGACTGGGAAAGGTAACCAGTAGAGATGACTGTACTCCACTGGTCTCTGCAGTGTTTGGTACATATGTTTATGGCTCTGCTGCTGAAAGGATAAGTTCACCTTTTAGAATAAAAATAATAAATGCACATTTTCTTGCAGGTAAATGGGATGTGCGAGCAAGCAGATGTACCGACAAAATGAACTATCATGGTGCTTCAGTTGTGGTAGTTTGAGGACTACTTGACTACATTTCTAACTCTCCCGAAATGCCCCTATAGCGTTAGACAGGCGTTTAATGAGCTTTCGTATGGGCGTTGTACGAGCATTAAAAATGCTCCCCAAACACCCTAAGCGCGATTTTAAAGTGTTTTTATAAGCGTTAACACCACACAACAAATGCCTATAATAAACGCCTGCCAGGTGTTTGAGGAGCGTTGACATAGACTTGAATGGGAGGCATTGAAAGGCTTTAACTCCTGACTCGACATGAGGTTTCACTTTTGACATGCTAACGCTTCATGTTTTGCTAATGTGAACAGCACTGTGTGCTGCCCATAGTATCATTTCCATAGGCGTTTGAGGAGCCCCTCAAACGCCTGCTTTCAAAGCTAGTGTGAACTGAGCCTAAGGCTGTTGGGACTGATGATTGACAGGTGACTGTGAATGAGTGATGCAGCCTTGTGGGTGGAGCCCCGCAGACCATGTTTTTTTTAAATCTGACAGGGTGGAGAAGATCCCCAATTAGCTGTCAAAACAGGGATCAGGGAGAGTGGGGGCCCTTCTGATTGTAACATGTTATGAAAGGTGAACTTAACCTTTAAGAAAATTTGCAGCCCCTCACTGGAAAGGCTACAGAGACACTTGAAGGGCTACAGTCCTTCACCACACAGGAGCAATCTACAAGCAGGTCCTGAAGAACTCAAGGTATTGAAGCATGTAGCTAAGTATAAAGCCTGGTTCGCACCTATGATTGTTGCAGTCTGCTGCAGGAAAAAAGTCCCTTAACCTTGCCAAAAATGGAGCAGCTAATAAATGCATCAATGTGAATGTGCCCCATAGGAAGCTATGTGAAATGGACTGTAGTGTGTTGCTGCAAATAAGCACTAAAAATGCTTGGGTGTGAACCAGGCTTTTAAGCCCAGGGAACTTGCATTTTTAGGAGACTGAAACTGCCAAATTTTATTTTTTTTTTTCCTCACCTCAAATATTTTACAAAAAGGCAAATATTTACCTTCACATGACCACTTGCTTAGTGAATATACTTCTCTAGAAGCTTGCCATGTTCAGTTTTATATATTAAAAAATGATGGACAAATGCAAACTGAAAAGTTATTTTTTAATAACATTCCGAAATGATGTATCGCTTTTGTTGCCTGAACACAATCTAGTTTAAAAAAAAAAAAAAAAAAATGGCTGTATAACACAGGCCCATGAATAACTTGGTGTTCGTGTAATGTCCCAAATAAATGTCAAAGTTCAATTTTTTTAGTTCTAATGTAAACCTGTACTTTGACCTGGAATACTCTTGTAGATGAGTTACATCAGAGTGAGGCATCTCTTTATCAGCAGTCACTTAGAAAGTACAGAAGCCATTGGATCAGCATGACGACCAGGGAACTAGAATTTAGAACGTTTTATATTGGCAGCTGCTATACTACTCAGTAGGTTCCTTTTTTAGGACAGGGGTCTTCAAACTTTTTAAATGGTCAGTTTACTGTTTTGCAGACTGTGGCCAATGGGAGTAGAAAATGCCCCCTCATTCGTTTTTAGTGTAAGTAATCTAGTGCCCTTTTGTTGGTATCAGTGGTAATAGTGCCCCATTGTAAATGGTGGGAGGAATGGCACCCCATAATTAGTGGCAGTTGTGGAGGGAATGGTGCCCCAAGGGCTGGCTAGAGGCAAGCATAGGGTCACATCTGGCACCAGGGCTGCAGTTTGGAGACCACTGTTTTAGGACATCATATAATTGTTCAGCAGTATGTATGTATACAATTTTTAAAGCCTTTGTTCATATCAAAGCTACCAAGTGTGTCATTTTTGCCTTT